GCAGGATGCTCTAGGCTGAGGCCTGGGCTCCTGTAATTTAATAATAATCCTGCCAATGCTAATTGGTACCTTGCTTGGCCTGGAGACTGAGCTCGGTTGAGCTCCTCAGGCCTGTGGGAAGGTGCTCAGTGCGTGGCTGTAGCTGCTGTGGGGTAGTGGGAGCATTGTGCCGCAGCAGTCCTCTGCAGGCTTTGTTGAGAAGAGGACCTTGTGAGGACAGCAAGCCCCACGCCAGCGTGCAGCAGGTACCACCCGTGGACCCCTATGTGTGCCCCCGAGGGCTCTCCCCATGGTCCTCCACAAGCCCAGCTCTGGGGAGCCTCCCCAAGGGTCCCCCCAGCCTGTAACGAACTGCATTTGGAGCGGTGCTCTGCCTGCTGCTGCCAAAGGAGGTCTGCATCCAGCAGCGAGGGCTGCCTGCCCTCACACAGCAATGCCTTCTGCTGGCCTGACGTCCACCAGAGACTGTTGTGTCTGTTGTTTGGAAACCCAGAGAAAATAGTCAAAAGAGCCAAGCGCTGATTTTTCCAGTCACCTAGGAGCACGCAGACTAGCAGGAAAAAACGCTGCATGCTGAATTCCTATCTTGGGATGCACAGCTTCAGGCTGCTTCCCTGCCAAGCCTAGCCTAATTAAAGATGATTAAGGAAACACACGTATTTGGTGATGATGCCAGGGAATTTCTGATAGAAAGGAGGGTCTGGGTTTAGAAAACTGGCCCAGCTGGGAAAAAGAGCCTTTTTTACCCAAGTGTGAAAGGATTTTGCTGTTGTCTCCATAAGGAGGCCTCAGCATGTTAATTCCTCTCTAGGCTGCAAGTGCTACAGGATCTGATTTCCTTTTCGTTCCTTCCTACAGTTAATGTATCCCACTTTTTGCAGCTCTGCTGTTGCAACAGCGCAGGCAGCTCTGAGGAGAAGCTTTCAGAGGGAACAAAATTCAAAGTCTGTGTAAATGTTGCCTAGGCTAAATATTAATGCTTTCAGAATGCCTCTGGAAATGAATAACCACTGTCCTCGCTTCGGGAAACCTGCAGGGTCGTGTGTGCCCTCAGCAGGCTGCTCACAGCTCTGCCATGGGCAGTGCTTGGCCCCAGCACCCTGGCACGTGCTGTCAGTGCCAAGGTGGACCTTAACTCCCCTCTGGGTTTTCTGCCTTGCAGCAGAAGAAGTTGTACCTGGAGCGGAGTGTGAAGGAAGCAGAAGATAACATCCGGGAAATGCTGATGGCCCGAAGGGCACAGTAGCTGTGCGGTTCCCCCCCGGGCCTCCTGCAACGCCTTCTGGGTGGTTTTGGGCAGCCCTGCCTGTGTGCTGCTCACCGCCGCCCAGCTGCACAAGCTCTGTTTCTGTGGCAGTTTCAATAAAATTCTGCTGCGAAGCCTGAGGTCATTTCCTCTGCCTGCCACCTTGGTGTCTTGCAGCAGCTGCTCTCCCTGTGGGGATTTGACAGAGAAAGGAGATGGTGGTGGGATTTGGGGTGAGGGCCCTTTGGGGAATCCTGCTTCACTTTAAAGCAGATGTAGCCCTCGCCCTCCAGAAAGACCCCGTGCACTGCTCGGCGCTGGGAACAGGGGAAGGCTCGCTGTGTTGTTCTGCTGGAGCAAGGCTGACGAGGCTCTGGTGGGGGAAAAGGGAGGCTGGCAGGGCAGAGCAGGGCCGGCCATCCCAGGCACCTCCAGGTCCATGACGGGTGGTCATTTACTCTGTCTCAGCGGTGACAGGCCCCGGTTCCCTCTTTGTACTCACGAGCCTGGCAGAGCCCCAGCGCGGTAGCGAGCTGGTGGAGGGCCAGTGCCACCCTGTGCTTCGTGCTCGCAGTGCACCAGCCCGGCCTCCTTCCCCTACTCCTGGCTTTGGTGCTTTTCCGAAACGGAGCTTTCAGGGACGTCTCCTCTCCTGCCACCAGCTCCTTAGGACTTTGGCGCTGGGCAGGTCCCATTGCTGACCCCCCCGTGCTCTTGCCCCGTAGACACATGGGCGCTGTCACACTCTGGGCTGGCCCTTTGCCACCTGCTGCTCCCCAGCCTCCCAGGCCACGTCACCTGCTCACCGGCCAGTCTGGCTTCATCTTCACCAGTGATCACACACCTGCACCGGCTGCAGTCGCTGCCCCGTGGACACAGGGGCCTGTGGACTGATCCCCCCCAGTGCACTCACACCCTGTCCACACACGTGCACACTCAGCATGGAGCCCTCACCCAGGACAGAGTTTAAGAGGAATTTAAGAAGATTAGACAGACTGCGCTGATCAGGCGCTGGACAAGTGTACCGACCAGCTGGTCGTTTATGCCCAACTGGTCCTTTCATCCCCATACCTCACTGGTTTTCCACACTTGTTCCTCCCCAAATCACCTACACCTCTGCCTTTAGGGCATCCACTAAATGTCCTATAGCAAGTCCTGTGCAATCCCAAACAGCTTTTCCCTGCATCCGATCATGTGTCCCACCTACCAGGCATCAACCACTTATTCCAAAAGGCGATCTGGACAGCTGCTCTGGGTCACTTATGGGGCTGGGTGTAGCTTGGACATGGGGCTTAGGCGCTGTGGGGACAACCCTGGGGAAGGCCCCGGGCAGGGATCTGTACCTCGAGTGTCCCAGGGTTGAGTTCCTGCCTGCCACTGTCCCCATGTGATGCTCCAGGCTTGTGGAAGAGCCTGTGAGGGGCTGACAGACCCTCTGATGGGCCTGGGGGTGGCCTGGCTGGGTACTGCTTGGGCTCCTGTCCTGCTGGGTCTTGCTGAGCTCCTGTCTGAGTGTACAAAGGTGCTTCACCCTGTAACTGACCAAAAGCTGCCATGTCTGCTGCTTCCCAACCTTGCCGTCCTTGGCGGCATCCAGCAAAGGTGTCCACCCATTTTGGTCATGGGGCAGGGTGCCGGTCTGGCCTGGGCAGGGGGTGGATCAGCCTGCAGCTGGGCTCAGCAGCCGGGGACTTACCCGCTGCAGGGGCTGCCTTGCACCAGGCTGGGCTGGGCTGAGCGTCACCCCCAGCCTGGCCTGGCCCCGGCATGGGAAGGCGGTGTCCAGGCTTACTGGGGGACTGGCAGAGCCCTTACTTCTCCAGCACCTTGAGCCTGATTTCCCTAGTGAAATCCTAGTGCCAGGCAGCTGGCACTCTGCACGGTGCCTGGTGGCTGGAACCCAGGGCAGCCCTTCCCAATGGAGCGTGGGAGATGCGGCATCCCCAAGGACAGGCACTGTGGCACCGGGGGCAGGGTGCTGCAGGGTTGTGTGCTGCTGTAGCCACACGAGCACAGGACCGCAGCCACTTTGTAGGTGTTTGTGATGGTGCCAAGCAGGAGGCAGAGAGCAGCAAATCCAAGTCCTCCCCCCTTCCCACACTGGGGTCTGGGGGCAAATGGCCCCCAAGCAGCTCCTGCTCCTACCCGAGGCAGAGCAAGAACCGGCCTGCAGCTGTGAGGTGACGGGGCTCGCCTCGCACCCAGCAATGCCATTTCTGGGGAATCAGCCACGGCCAGGCTGGGTGGGCTGACCACTGTGGTGGGATGAGGGGCTGGAGGGAGGGGGAAAGGGGACAGCCAGGGGCACAGGCGTGGGGCAGCTTAACGCTCCACTTTTAACCCCCTGCCAAGGTGGGGTGAGCCAGGGACCACCCTTCTGAGCCCTGACAGGGAGGCGACCGCGACCGGGAAGGTGACAGCGACTGTTCCCCGGGGCAGGGAGCCTCTGGGAGCCTGTCAGCGGACCTGAGCTTAGGGCTGCAGCCTGCAGGGGCCATCATCACCCCAAACCAAATTGTCTTGCCCCAGACCAGAGCCCCAAAACTGCATTTCTAAGACCCAAGCAGAGGTGTACAGAATGGTGGCAGGCACCTGGTCAGGGGGGAACTCTCAGACAAAAAAAGCACAGAGGAACCCAGTGAGTTGCTTTGTGAGGCCTGAGCAAGCCTGGCCACACGGCAGTTTGCAGCTAAGCCCTGTCCCTATACGGGTTCCCTCAGGCCTGGATGCTGGACCTAGGCCCACACCGGAGCCGGGGCAGCAGAGCTACTGCCTTGGCTGCAGCACAGGAAGGGCCTTAGGGTCCAGACAAGCACAACCCTCATTTAGCTCAGCTTGGGCCACCCTTCCCTCTCCTGGCACCTGCTGCCAGGTCTCAGCTGGATGCAGCATACACAAACTGAGGGATGGCGAGTGCGGAGCCCTTTGAAGCCCTGCTGCAAAAGGGTACAAGATCACTAGGTGATCTTCAGGCAATACAAAGCAAAGGCAGTGTGTGCCAGTCCACCAGGATCAGTTTTGCTCCCGAGGCAGGGAGAGCAGCAGGGAACCCGGGGCAGTGGGCAGCTGGGTGGGAACCATCCCCCATGGTGACCGGCAGCAGGTTTCCCCACTTTTCTGCAGGCAAAAGCTTTTTATCCCTCTTCTGGCCAGGCGTGCCATGAAAAAGCTTCAGCTATAAATCCTCAGCACTAAATTAATCCATGGCCTTGTTTCTTCTTACCCATTAATTTACCCCCCGCAAGCCTATGCTCTGCGGCAGGGAGATGATGGATCACTGCTCAAAGCCCTTGAGTGGGATCAGTCCTCCCTCAGGAACTGCTGGCGCATGCACACAGCATCTCAGCATGTGCTTCCCCCAGCTCTCTGCCGTCCCAGGAGCTGCTGGGGAGGCCCCTAGGCCCCGAAGGGGACCTGGATGTCCAGCCCTGAGTAAGCAGAGGGATGAAAACCCGAGCAAGCTGCCCTGTGTGGGATGAAGGGGCTGATGGTGTCAGATACCAGTGTGCCACCCTCCCCACTCCAGCTGGCTTCACTGTGCTGCAGAAAATCCCCCAGGTGCTGGTGACAGCTGGGCCAGACACCCCCAGCCCAGGCCCCAGCAAGGGGCCGAGGCACAAACTTCTGCAGCAAAGCCACTTGAAGCCAAGTCCATCATTGCTGCTGCAGAGTCAGCGCATGCAGGAGGCTGAGAACAGACAGCGACGGGGCAAGCACACCCTCTATGGGACAGATTTATTGAAACAGTCAGAACCTAGCGAAGAAAATCAACTGTTGGCTTTAATTATTGCGTACATCTTCATTTCTAGGACTAGGAAAATTTCAACTGATAAATATACATTTCATCAGAATGCCTTTGGCTGAAATATACCATTAGCACATTCTTCAAAGTTACAACAAAAGTCTTAGAAATGTTAAAAAGGGATTTTTCCTTTACTAAAATAAAGGAGTGCACCCCCCACCCCAACAAGGCGCTAGGACTGACAGACGGGAACTCTTGGCTGTGCAAAGCAGAGCATTGATTACAGTAACAGAAAGAAGTCAGGACAGGAGTGGGGAGCCTGCATAGCACTCAGTGAGAGGTATGGGAGGCAGCTGCAGTGGAGTCAGGTCAGCATGTCCCAGAGGCAGCAGCAGCAGAGCGCGGTCCAGCACGCCGTCAGGCAGGCGCTCTCGCCCGTGTCATCTCTCCGCCGCTCCTCCACGACGTACACTGTGGGGACAGGAGAGCTCAGTCAGTCAGAGAGTGGCACAGCGACACCTGCAGCGGCCGACCATGTCTGCTGCCCTCAGCACAGCCGGCCCCGGCACAGCCATGGTGCCCCTCTTTACCACAGCGCTCACTTTGGGTGGCCCACACTTGCTGGAGACAATCTGGTGCACGGGGGAGCACTCGCAGGAGGGGAGGTCCCAAGCTCCCCTCAGGCCACGATTTCATCACCGCAGCAGCACCCTGCAAGGACCCGCTGCCCCCTCCCACCACTGCAGCAGCCCTCGGATGGGAAGGGTCCCCAGGGGAAGCACTTCTTTCCGCAGCCAGGCCCAGGCCACTGGGACTGCGCAACATTATGGTCTCGACGCAAGCAGCTGGTGCAGGCCAGCCAGGACCAGGCTTCCGTTATGTCATGTACAGTTACTGAGAAAGGAAACAGGGCTCAGCCTGGAAGGCATCTGCTCCGAGTGAGCTGCCCTCTTGCAAGCACTGGTGCCTAAGCCTCCTTGCCTGCCCCCCTGCCTCCCCCTGCCCTCTGGCAACCCCCAGCCAGCAGGAGGTCCCCAAAGCAGAGCGCCCACAGGTGCCCTGGCTGCCCCAGCTGAAGCCAATGCCCCTCCAGGCCCGGCACAGCCACCCTTCCCAGGGGGGAGGTCCGCAGCCCAGGCAACCATGCTGGAGGCGGCCCCACACTCCTACGGCACTTGGGGTGCTGGGGAGGGAGCACGTGCAAGGAGGGTGGTGGGTTCAGACATGGCTAAGGGCCAAACTCCCACCCAGCTGCTCACTTGCTGCCCCTCCTCAGCAGGGCAAGATGGGAAAAGAGGATAAGGAGGCTCATGGGTCATATAAAGGCAGAGAGATCGCTCACCTATTACCATCATCGGCAAAACAGGTGCAACTTGGGGAAAAATTAATTTATCACCAACTACAATAGATTTGGGTAGTGAGGAACAAAGACAAACACTAAAACACCACCTTCCCTTCTGCCTCCTCCACCTCCCCTCCAGCAGCATAGAGGGATGGGGAATGGGGGCTGCAGCCCATACACAGCAGCTCCTCTCCTCTCTGCCGCTCCCGCCAGGAGAGGCGAGCTGTGTGACCGTGTGTGCAAACAGGGAGGTGACACCTGTGGGCTGGGGTTGTTCCCTGCAACCTTGGCAGAACCCATGCTCCCCCCCCCCCCCCCCAGCAATCAGTGGTCTGGGTACATTAATCTTTGGAGGGATCATTAGGCACCTGGTGATGGAGAAGGCAGCTCAAGGCTCCCAGCAAACAGTGCTGAGACCAGTGGGAGCAGCTACCCTGGACCAGACTGGGCCCTGCTGGAGGCTGTCGCAGATCTCCCAGCTGGCCTGAGCTCCAACACAGCACGGCCTTTGGGCACCAGGGTCCTTGCCAGGAGAACTTGCTCCAGCAGGGGTCCTCTCCATGGGCTGCAGGTCCTTCTGGAAACATCCACCTGCTCCATGTCCTCTACAGGTTGCAGCAAATACACAGAGCACCTCCTCTTCCAAACTTCTTCTGTTTCTTACTCTTTTGTTCCCTCCTCTCTCTCTGGCATTTTCTGCCCTTTCTTAAATATGTTAGAATCATAGAATCATTTAGGTTGCAAAAGACCTTCAAGATCATCGAGTCCAACCATTAACCATACCCACTAAACCATGTCCTGAAGTACCCTGTCCACTCGCTTTTTGAATATGTCCAGGGATTGTGACTCAACCACTTCCCTGGGCAGCAAATTCCAATGTTTGACAACCCTCTCAGTAAAAAAAATTTTTCCTAATATCTAACCTAAATCTCCCTTGCCTCAACTTGAGGCCATTTCCTCTTGTCTTATCTCCAGCCACCTGACAGAAGAGACCAACACCCACCTCACTACAACCTCCTTTCAGGTAGTTGTAGAGAGCGATAAGGTCTCCCCTCAGCCTCCTCTTTTCTAGACTAAACAGCCCCAGTTCCCCCAGCCGCTCCTCATAAGACTTCTGCTCCAGGCCCCTCACCAACTCGTTGCCCTCCTCTGAACATGCTCCAGCAACTCAATGTCTTTCCTGTAGTGAGGGGCCCAAAACTGAACACATTACTCTCACAGAGGCACCACCAGCTTTGCTGACGTGCTCAGCAGTGTCCCGTGGTAAGTCTGTTGCAGAGCCTTGCCAGCTGCAGGAGGAGAAAGAGGTAAGCTCCCAGCGCCAGGAGGTGGTCTCAAGGTGAGATTCAGCTACTGTGTATGAATGGCCATGGGGAGGTGGGTACAGACAAATCCTGGGAAGAGCTGAGGTCAGGGGCAGAACAGCGTCCCTCCTGCCCCTCAAGGCTGGAGAAAGCTCACTCTGCATTTTGGGCATTGGGCAGAAGGTGCTTTTGCACCAGCCAGCACTTCTCAGTGGTGGGAAGAGCTCGCTCTTCTCAGGCAGCAGGCCCCACAAAAATAGCAGGGATCAGCTCTGGCTGACCGACGTACCCAATTATAAAGCCACGTGGTCACTGCGAGGAGGCTGTGGCAGAGCCGGGATGCATCGCCTTCAGAGCCTCCCTCTCGTGGCCTCTGCAGCTGAGGCCAAGGAACACTGACAGTGCTGGTTTCCAGAGGACTCCAGGATCAGCAACCAGCTGACTTGGAAAACAAGCAGGTGGGTTCCTTGCTGTTGGATCACTTCTGTGCACAATCAAAAAACCAGAGTTTTAGCACAGTGAAGATGACAAGAACCTGTCTGCTGCCAGGTCTGGCCAGGCCACAGGCAGGATAGGCTGGATAGGCACCCAGAGCAGAGTTCTCCACGAGATGCCAGCTTCCATAGCTACAAGCACACTTGCAGTTTGTCTGCTTGTTGTCTGTTTAGAGTGGCACTGCTAAGTCAGTTTGCTTAACTAAGTAGCTGTTCCCTGACACTACTGCAGCCCTATCACACACAAAACTGCCTCCTCCCCTAGGAAGTCAGCACAGGGATCAGTCCTTGCTCCAGCAAGATGTATCCATCGTGCATGCTAGGGGACTTCCACCTCTGCCTGCTCAGCACGCAAGGCACAGCCAGCCTTTAACCAGGCTAGGAGGCAGCAATCCTCAGACACTTCACCTGCCAAGGGGCGGATGCCCAGATCACACCCCCAAATGCTTAGGGTATTGCCTCATGGACAGAAACCATTTAAGCTCTGCCCCTCAAGGGCTGCCCAGAGGCTCCCAGCAGGCTGTTGCGATTTACTGCACACTGCCTGCTGCCTGAAAGCACAGGAGGGAGCCCCGGGTTTGGATGGAGCTCTCCCAGCAGGGTCTCCTACCCAAGGCCAGCGTGCTGCGTGCTCTTTCTGCCAGCCCCTGAAGCCCATTTGGGACAGATGAGCAGATTACCTTTGGTTCCTCCTCACTGAACTTGGGCTATCACACCCAGAACTGCAGCAGATTGCAGGCAGGCACATGACCTTCCTTCCTTCCTTAAAGCTTTCTTGGATCTGTTATGGTCTGTGTGGGAACCGTGCCTTCACACAGGAGTCTGACCCAGGCATGCAGCTAGTGCTTTAAGTCAAGTGGCTGAATACATGGTGTTGACAGGCAGAGGCCTGGGCAGGAGACAGCTCATGTCATCAGCCTGGTCCTCCCTGGGCTTTGTGCTCAGAAAAATGTTCCCCCCCACCCCACCCTTCACTGCTTCAGTTCTCTCAAGAGCGACGCGTGGAGGATGATGTGCTCTGGCTTACATGATACAAAAATCCTGCCACCATCAGGGTAGGGCAGAGAGACCAATAGCCCAGTAATCCCCCTCAAACATATGCCCTCAGGTACAGCCTGTACCCCAGCCTCAGGCAGCCTCCCTCTTGCCAACCGGAATAACAGAGAAGAGGCACCTACTGTGCAGGCACAGCCCAGCTCCAGAGGAGCCACTGCATGGTGCTGGCAAAGCACCACTGTCCATCCTTCCCTCCAGGGCTTTGCAGCTGCCTGTGGGCATTCAGTCACAGCATATGGTGCCCTTGCTCCAGGAATGTCAGGGTGGAAGCACATCTCTTCTCCAGGCAGCCCCAAAAGGAGGTGGCAGCATGCAGCAGTGCTGTGACAGGCTGCGCTGGAGCAGGAGACATACCACGTGCTCTCCTCCTCCAGCAGCTGCTGGCCCTGCCTGCCCCTGCAGAGCCAAAGCAGGCACCTCCAGGCAGGAACAGACCAGGACCTGATGGAAACCTGGCTCCCACGCACAGACCAGGGCCCTGCAGGCTGCTGGGCAGTGCTGCAGTAGTGGGGGAGGCTGCACGACCTCCTCCCCAGAGCCTGTGGACAGGGCAGGGCTGCGCCCACAGCCAGCAGCCCAGCCACGCTGGCAAGGACCACAGAACAAGGTCAATGACTTGTGAGCCCAGCACCCTGGCCTCCTCCTGTGATCCAAGAGACCCTATTTCATCCCTTTGAAAGGGTGGACCACAGACCCATCTGTCCCAAGGCAGACAGGACTTTGGTCAGGCCCCTCCCTCCTTCCTGCCCACAGCCCCAAACTGGCACTCAAAACCATGCATGGAAGACTTGCAAAGGCTTCATGTTCCAAAGCATGAAGACTTGCGAGTGTTTGACCTTATAGAGCATTATATCAGTATCTGTCTATTCACTGCCTGTTCTCCCTGGTGAGGTGACCCAAGTCCACTCGTTCCTATACACCGCCGTGCAGCGCAAGCTGTCATCAAGCGGCCGGTCAGGTCCCTGGAGCAGTGGGCTATAGTGGGTCACCGACTGCTCAGCAGTGGGAAATAAGGGAGCTGTGCCCTGCTGTCCATGGGAGAAGCTGGCTTAGCAGAGCTGCCCACACTGTTTTGCCTTCCTTCCCCGACTGGCATTGCTGGGAGCGGCTGGACACCCTGACATTTGAACCTTTTACCCTCCTCAGCTGAGCAGCATTCTGCCCTGCAGCAGATAGAGCTGCCCTTCTGTCTGGCTTAACAGACAGAGCTGTGACAAGAGGCGAGCCCTGGCGCCACACAACACCTTTGTGCAAACCCAATCATACGACCAAGCT